ATACAACATACTGTTAGTGCATATTTTGCATGTTCATGCTAGTCTATAATACATACCGTTCGTCACGACTAAAATATAAGTACGATCAAAAAATAGCCATAGTAAATAAGTTATTGTATTCATGTATTGTAAATATGAGCGGAAAACCATTAATCCTATATTTTCCTTCCTGGTCGTTGGACAGAAACATAAATGATTGTATCAATTTATGATTCTGTCTAGTTCATATTAGACGCTAAGCAATCATTATTATATAAAATTGATCTTGACAGAATTAGAATTACTGCACTATACTTTCAAAAAAGTAATAGAATTTTCAAGCTTGCACTGAACTGTAGTTTTCAAAATCAAATTCTTTTATTTGTAATATTTCGTCTAGATCGTACTTTTGACCTCATTTTACTTTATCGTTTATTTTTTTCTCCATTTCATTGCATTGAATTAACTTATCATTTTTTACAGGTTGTAAAAGACTACAAAGAGACCAAGAATTATTTTCTCAACAGAAACAATTGCAGCATGATGTTCACCGTTTTGACAAATTTGATTTTTGTGAAGAAAATAGTTGGGAGCCATCCGTTCACTTTTCACCACCGCCAGAGCCTAGAATTCGTATTGAAAATTATGCTGCTTATAGTATGTATTTCCATTGAATAAGCATAAATTCATCATAAAATATTTTTTTCAACTTACCTAAAATATGTTTTTCAAATGCTTGTCAAAATAATGCAATAGACTAAGAATGAACCAAGAACAATCTAAATATTATTTTCGCTGCATGTATTCTTATGTCAATAATTGGTCAGGAATCATGTTGAAATTTTTATAGATGTGACTGATTCTCAACTGATACCTGTTAGTCATTCGGCAAAAGTCTCTCCTTTGAATCTAGCAAGCCGTAATTATGAAAACAATCCTCTCAGTTCACTTCACAAGCAGCGCTGTGATGAAGAAGCCAAGAAGGAACCCAAGATGTCTACACCTAAATGTAATTATCTATATTTTCAATTTTCAATTGTTTTTGTTCATGTTTCGAAATCTTTGAAAATTGGCAGAAAAAATTTGCGTTCATTACAGATTTCTCTTAACAGATTTTACTGTAACATAGATTTCAGTGCATATAAAATTTCTGAAGAATATTTCCAGTATTCATAGTGACTGTTCTTATTAATTCATTACAGCGGAACATTCGCTTCGCAATTTAAGTATAAATTGCATTTCATCAATTTATCCGG